GCGCGCTGGCCGCAGGGAAGGTGATGATGCACCGGCCAGCTCCGGCTGCCTGCGTCCCCGGGAGCCAGGAGCACGGCGGCACACACAAATCCCCCTCACAGCGCCTGGCTGGGACGGAGGGTTTGCACGCACCGTTCTTCTGTCGTGCGTGTCTGCATGGCATTTAGCCCCAGCATTGGAGAAACACTCCTTGGCGAGCTGCTTGCCTTTTGGTTTTTATAGAAACAGGGGGTCGGACAAAAGCAGAGAAGAGTTTGAAAAAGCCAAACGCAATATATTTTAATAAGAAAAAAAGAAATGGTATAGCTGATTTAAGTTACATTTTTCCTTTCAAACCATTGCCTGGCCTGAAAGTTTATTTCCCAATTTTCTAGCTGCAGGAAATCTAGGTGGACGTGCTATAAACCACATCTCACGTTAGCTTAACAGTGGGGGAAAAAAAAAAAGAAAGGCCCCTTAATTAGTCCAGTGCTGTTTGGTTTTGCCTGAGACAAGGAATTTTTTTCATTTGGGGGAGCCATCCTCATCCTCACCTTCACAAAGTTGGGTGTAGGAAGCCTCGGCTGCAAGCAGTGACTCCGTGCATTCACCCCGCCGTGCCACCCCGCTGCCCAGAGTTCAGGGCGGCTGAAGGGGACAGCCATCCCTGCCGTCCCACGCCGAGGTGACAGCCGCCGAGGACTTCTCTGGGGTGGCCGGGGAAGCTGCCTAGCGCCGTGCAGAGGCCCCACCACAAAAAAAAAAAAACTACTGTGGAAGATGTAGGGTTAGGAAAGGAGAGGACAAGCCGGAGGGAGAGCCAGTGCTGAGAACGCCTGGCGTGGCTCCTGAGGAGCGCCTAATGGAAACCAGACTCCTACGGACCAACGCGACTCGTCCTCGTACACGTATGGAGCCTTGGCTGAACACCCGCGTCTCACAAATCCTATAGATACATGCAGGACACAGCATCGGGTACTGCTATGGTATTACAGGTGTTACTATAATGATGGGGTGTTTTTTTGGGAAATGAACATCGGGATGTCTCTAGCAGCTGCCACCGGGGGAACAGGAGATGCTCAGGCCCGGGGGGCTGTGTCCCTGCAGGGTCCAGCAGCCAGGACAGCACCAGGGCCCGATGCAGAGCATCGCCATGCACTGCTTGGAGACACTCGGCGACAAGTTGCCCCTTCCCTCGGTGGCATCTGAACAGGGTGCCCCAGGGGATCCCACCCGGGATGGGGCAGGGCAGGGGGGGAAGGAGGGCGGAGGAACGCGGCTTGACAGCAGGATGGGGCCACCACGGTCAGCAGCTGGAGCTGGGCAGGAAGAGATCAGCTGTGTGGAAAAACAGGGCTACATCTCCACGCTGGGAGAGATAAGCCCATATTCTGCCTCATTTTAACAAACACTCAGAAATCTTTTCCCTCCCGATACAAACACACAGCTGCCAAACCCCCTCTGCTTTGTGCACCCAAAGCCTGGCAGGAGGGAGAGGGTGAGGGCTGGAGAGAGGGGGCTCTGCAGGGTCTGCCCTGCTCGCCCAGCACCAGGGCTGTCCGGGCCGTCGCTGGAGGAATAACGCTGCGCTTCCACGCCAGGGACATCGCTGCCAACAGCACGCGAAGCCCCACCACCGCCCCACAGCCCCCAAGGACCCTGCCTGCTCTTGGTACAGCTCAGCCAGTTTCCATGGAAACGCACCAAAATGAATTCGATCAAGAATCCTCTGGGACTCTTCCTCCTTACGGCGTTCAGTAAGCGATGCCAACTTTCACAATTTGCAGTCACAATAATTTACTCTGAGCGAAAATAAAGTCCCATCTCTCTGCACGGAAGAGCCCCAGCCAAGCTGCGCCGGGCAGGAGGGAGGGAAGGAGTGCCAGCTATGGCCGCACCGGTCTTAGGAGGTACAGCCAGAAGGTTCCTTGTGTATTTATGTCTATATAAACACACCTCCAGAGATCGCAGCTATTGAAGGACGTGCCCCACAGCCTGCTCAGCAAAGACCTAGCGCGGATTCTCATTTCAACCTTTCACAGCAACCACAGGTAACCAAAGACCACACACACAAAAAAATTTTTCTATCTTTGCAAAAGCCACGGGCCTCTGAAACAGCACGGATTACAACCAGGAGCCCTAAACCAGGTTGTGGCTCTGCTTTCCCCCCCCACCCCAGTACTTAGAATTTAAAATAGAAGGAAACCATCGCCACAAGACAGACCCCACGGGGGGATGTAGCCCTGTGCACTGGCTCACGCTGCCATGGGAATGAGTGGAGGCAGCTGGAGAACGGGGCACGGAGGTGCTGTTCGAGGGTCCGTGATGCTCAAGATATCACAGATGCCCATCTGCAATTTGCTCGGCACTCCTCAGAGGAGGGTCACACTTCTTTAGGTTTCTGTCTGTGCGATTCCAATGGTCCTGTCTTGCCAAGAGAGGAAACCACATCCCGGAGTACATGGAAATAGAGGTGCCAGTGACAACCCACTGGTGACAGCTACAGGGACCACCAGGATCTCTGTGCACAACAGCAGGGCCGTGCTTGGACTGCCTCACTTAATACCGCAGGGATGCAACGTGCCATCAGGTGTAACAGAGATGCAGAGAGAAAGCAGCTTGAATTTTAGAAATAAACCCTTTAAAAGCCAACAAAACACCTACTGTGTAGAAGACCAGTCGCAGAGCATACACCTCACATCTGCCAGGACCAGCCTGCCAGTGCCCTCACACAGGTTATTCATCGCTAAACACCCCTGGCTGACCCAATTACATGACATTTGTTAGCTCCGCAGCAGTTGGTAAAGCTTGCATCCTCTCTACTTCTCCCTAGGAAACAGGCAGGTGAGAATCGCTGCTCCTCCAGGAGCTCAGGGGCAGAACGGGCTCAGCAGGTCTTTGGCTAACCCTCAGTCACACACTGCTCCCTGTGCAGCACACTGCAAATTAAGGAGGAAAAAAATAAAATAAAATAAAATAAATAAATTAAAAATTTAAAAGAACTATCCCCCCCCACCTCATCCCCATAGCAATCATGGGTCAGTGACATTTCTAGAGCAAACGCAGCCCTTAATTTGACCCGACTCCAACCGAGGGTAGATAGAGCAAAGCATGAACAGCTGAACTGAGACGGGGCTACAGCATCCCCGTTCTGTCCCCAGGAAGGGGATGGGACGCCCCTGCCCACAACGGAAGGTGAGAAGCAACTTTACCTGGTCTCCCTGCCTGTGCCAACGCAGGGGCAGTCAGGGGAAGAGCAGCCGGCAGAGACTACCATGGGGGA